TATATATAAGTATATAAATATAAAATAACAGAATAGTGAAGAGGTAAACGAAATGTGATGTGTATTCTTCATTTATATTCTTCTAAGAAATACTGACCAATATTGAATTCTGCTTATATTTTCCCAGGGCTTGACTTACTTCCAGGGCTGGTTTTGTTTCCATCAGCTCTGCTGAAAATGGATGAGAACAGGGAGGCCAATGAGAGCAGCCCACTTCTGGACTCAGGAAACCGAGCTTCAGCACCATCAGTGTTCCAGGGAAGGAGGCTAGCATGTGCTGCCATCCTGCTTGCTGAATCATTAGAAAGGGTGGCATTCTACGGCATTACAGCCAATCTGGTACTTTTTCTCAACAACAGTCCTTTTTACTGGGAGGGCACTGAGGCCAGTCAGGCACTTCTGACCTTCATGGGAATTACTTACCTGATTTCACCGTTTGGAGGCTGGCTGGCAGATGCATATGTTGGGAAATTCTGGACTATTGCTGCAAGTTTAATTCTGTATTTTATCGGAATGCTATTTTTCCCTTTTATTTCAAAAGCTGAAACAAGGACACATTTATGTGGAGAAGAGACGGCGTTTCCCGTGCAACCGGCTGAATGTCTGAACAGCACCGCTCCAAAAAATGTAACTTGCTCATGGCGCAGTCCATATTGTGGCTCAGTAATCTACATTGGACTGCTTTTTATTGCACTTGGTGTTGGTTCTGTGAAGTCCAACATCACTCCTTTTGGGGCAGATCAGGTAAAGTATGAACTATATCTTTCACAGCTCACATTATTGTCCCACATAGGGGAAATTCTTTGTATTTTATTACTGCTTATACCATCATTAGGAAAAATAGTGTATTTTTCCAAAGCTAGCATTGTATTTTCTAAATTACCCAACTCTGCTAAGTTGTTGAATTACTTGATATAGAAATGCACCAGTCAGTCAGCTAGTTTTCCCTGCCTTTACCCTGATTATTGAAGAGGAAAAAAATCAAAAATCTCTTTACCTTTGCTTCCAGGAAATCCGTCTAAAGTTTAATAGTGCTAATTTTAAAAATAAGCAACATTTTTTACTTTGATGCACTGTTTTTCCATTTTATTAAACTTCAAGTGAAGCTTATCTGTTGAACAAATGCAAAAAAAAAACCTTTCCTCCACTTTATTCTCCTTTGTACTCAAAACTATCATTTCTATTATAGTACCTGCAGCATATGTTTTCTTTTTAAGTTCTATGGTCAAAATAGGGGAAATTGTGGTAGAAAAAAACATGGTGCAAAAAAACACATTGATATGATAGACATCTCTACCTTAAAGCAAAACCTTGGTTGAGCAAAACAACATTATTTACAAAATTCTTTATTACACTAAGATCACATGAAAAAAAAAGATCCTAAACATCAGGTGAAAAACTTAGTTGTGTAAAGCACGCATAAAGCTTAGACTGTTTAAACCTGAGGACTATTACTTTGTAATATCACTGGTGTTGGAAGTTTTCTGTGTGATTCTTTTTTGTATTTTTGCATAAAGTTGCGTCTGCCATGTGTGGACATGTGATGAGCGATCTGATCCACTGTGACATTTCACTGAGCCATGCATTCTCTGGATCATCATGGCTATTTCTAAGTAAAGTCATGTGAAAAGACAAAAATGAAAATCATATTTGTCAAAAAAACATTTGATTTACTCATATATTAGATTAATCAATTCTGATCCACTTCTCTTTGTAAGCAAGTGAGTAACAGTTATTGGTTTAGCATCTTTAACAGTTGTCAGAATCCCAAATAACTTTGCAAAAAAAAAAAAAACTTCCACTTTCTTTGTTAAATTAACTCAATTTACCATAAGATTGCATATCTAATTTA